CGGAGGAGAGGTTTTATTCACTTTCTTTTTTAATTGCAGCTGATTATTTTGAGTTGTGGCATCAGAACTTTTGGTACTCCCTGCAGTGGGTTTTCAGTGTTTTCTTTTATTTTGTTTTCTGACATCATTCACCTCCAGCTCATACAGAAATAAGCAAGATTTCTGAAGTGACATATACTGGCTCTATCCTAAATCCATAATTACTTAATTTTAAAAGATACATCTAAAGCAACTATGACATGTGCTAAGATGAATCAAAGGCAGACAGCACATAGCTAATACAACGGGAATTTCAAGAACTTTGGTGGAAGTGGAAAGGTAGCAAGAATCAGAGATAACAGGCCATGTACACTGCATAGCTTATTACCATGCACGACACTCATGCAAGCTGAGAAGCCATTAGCAGGACAGATGTATCTATCTAACATTGTCCTTTGGCTCTTTAGCACTTCTGGGAAGCAAGTGATAATTAACTCAAGCAGGTGGTCATGCTGGTGTGCCTGTAGTTTTTCAGGGACACAAACTAGTATCTCTGCAAGGCAGTCCACCATGCTGTGCAGACGCAGCGGTTTTCTCACCATTGACACAGTTACCATTAACACGGCATTCCATCAACATTGAAACTTGTCTGCCTATAAAGGAGTACCTGATTATACAAATAGGTATAATTAAAACAATTTAACTTCCCTAAAATGGCATCTCCTATTCTTACATCAGGAATATGGACCTGATGCTCAAATCTACATAACACTGTGGCACATTAGCTGCTATGTTGTTATTAAATGAGAATTTCATGGCCAGGTACAAAATACTATATATGAAAAACAAAGATTCAACCCTACCTCCCTTTTATCAAAGTAGGGTATGTTTTCACCAGAAAATCTGAAATATTTCTGTGGGTCAGATCTTGAAGAATTTCTGTGCTGTGCTGCACTCTCTGGAAAGAGAAGAAAACCTAAGCAATCAGAGTAAACTTCACAGTCTCTAAAGCTATTAAGTAAGCGTTTCTCAGGAAAACAGCAAAAGTAGCTTCACTTCAGCAGAATTGCTCAGGTTCATAGTATCACTGAAATGAGAGCAGGTTATTCATTTTCTAGCCCAAACATCCTTACTTTACTGAGATTTCACAAGAAATCATGAAATCACAGAAGTTTGTGATGCCTGACACAAGCTAGTTGCACTTCATTCTGAAACTTGACCTGACTCGTTTTCAACAAATGCCAGGGTTGCTCAAGGCTTTTTCTTCACTGTGAAAGAAGGAAGCTTTTCAAATAGACTGAAGTCCCAGTGAAGATAAGGTAGTGTTCTATGATTTAGCCAGGCTAAAGTAAAAATTAATATGAAAACTTCACCTTCACTAGCACGTTAGATACGCTGAATGAAAATTACTCTTTTTTTTTTTTTTTTTGTAATGAAATTAATGCCACACGATGCCTTTGTAAGTCTTCTGCAAATACAGGATTGCTGTGAAACACAAGGCCTCAAAGTTCTTGAGTTTATTCAAAGGTAGAATATACTTTAAAAAGGTTCCTGGGCAGTTTCAGAGGGCAAAGGTTGCAACCTGAAACGACCTAGTAACAACCTAGAAAGTAAGTCTAATGAACTTTCCAGAAGTTCCTACATTTGTCCACAGAAAGGCAGTACCAGATGACACAGAAGATACATAACAGATCTTAAGCGGATTCTAGACAGTACACAGGAAGACCAGTAGCATCCTCATAGTGCCTTCATCAATTGAGCTGTCTACACTTAGACATACTTCATAATTATTTACATACTGTTGCTTCTCTGGAGACTCAAATGTGAACTGTTTCTTCCTGATTCTTCCTGACAAGTTATACAAAATTATCATAGCCTGCAAAATTATCAGGATAATATGATAATAAATACATTTCCCTTAGAGCATGAGAATCTCCACAAATAAACAAACAAATTAATTTTGCATCCTGCTTGAATTTGAAGCTTTAGACTAAATTTTCCTCTCAAATACACTAGCATGCAATTAGCAAAATTGAACTTCAACTGTTCATTGGACAGGGATTACTTAGAAACCAGAAATAACTTGGGATGCTGTGAATAAGGTCAGAATGTTTTTTATTAATTTCTGTCCATTAATTTCTTTTTTTTTTTGCTTCATAGACAGTAGTTCTACAAATATTTAAAAGAACTTTGCTTTGTTCTGTGAATAGCGATAGAGAAACCAAAGCAAGCTGAATCAGTATTTTTAAGAGACTATGTCATGGATTTAGATTCAGAAATTGATAAAGCTTGTGACATTAGTGTTAAAACTAGACCTACTTTAG